AACGCAAAGTGTACTGTTTTTGATACAGGAGTCTGAGAGTTTTTGAGACCTCTAAACCATTCGATTTTTTCCCCCTGAAAACCTGAATAAATAAATTGCAAAAAATGCCCAATGTAGCAAAAATGATACCAATTAAAACTCTTAATTCTCTAAATTCTCACTTTCAGACAGTTCTACACTTAGCTCTGGATGATGTCAAAAAGTAGATTTTCTTAACATGTTAATCAAATTAACACAACTCTGGCTGTAAGCCCCATCCACCTGATGTTCAGACCTCCTTTGTAAGACAGGAAGCCATTCAGAATAAACATTAAAGAAGGAAGGGATCTTAAGGAACTGCACTAAGGATCAAGAGTAGGAGGATAAAAACAAAAAGAGATGCAATTTAACGGGCGATTTGTAAACCTGCGTTTACAGTAACATCAAATGTTAAATGCCCAAAATTAATTACAGATTATATTGACATATATTTCGTTGATATGTGTTGATATGTTCACAGCACCATAGGCTAAACGTTTACACATCCTGTGACCTTCACTGATTTGATCTCAATGTTTATTCAAAGGCACTCAGTGTCTCGATTGTAGCATGTATTTAACATCAGGCATCAAACTAAATGAAATTATATTGCAAAGTGTTTTGATATTTGAAGACACTTCCTTATTGCTAAAAGGAATAATAAAAACATTACCATGCTGCAGGGAAACAAAATATAAAGTTGTATTAAATTTGATCTCCCTGGACTGGGACAGAGTTATAATTAATTATCATAACGAACATGGTCGGATGCAAAGTGTCAAACAACAGGATTCCCTGTTAGCATATTGAGAGACGTGAAAAGTGGTCACCCCGGGGCCAAAACATCGATAATACTCCAATATTACCACCAAGTGTAAAAGATCTTTTAAGGATGCAGAATCTCAGCTAGACTTATAAATTGCATAGTTTAAGGAATGCTTTAATCCTTCTTTTGCATCAGTTCGGTAAATGGTATCCTCAGGCAAGTTGGTGCTGCAGCGTTGGTTATAAAAAGATCAAACATGATGATAATTTGTATTAGACTCTGACATAAGCCCATCCTCTGGCTTCTTCCTCTGTGTCTCCCACATCTGTAATATTAAAATATTAAATCTGTGCCTGGTTGACTGCTTTTGGAGGCCCAAAAGAAAGTCGCAAAAAAGGAAACAATGCATTATTTAAACTACCCATATGTTTTAGGCTTTCAATTATCTGAGTAAGAAACCATCCTCACTAACTCTGCTTGGCTACCCATGAGTATGAACAGTGCACATGAGACTCCGTTGTTTTGTAAATGGAGCTTGCATAATTAACGTCAGATTCAGTGGTGGCCTTCTCCCACTGTGGCTACACAGCTGTAGCCTTCCTCTTTAAGAGCTGACTCAGTCAGATCCTCAATCGTTAAATTAATGCATATGTGCCTTTAGGGAGTAGCCGATGCTGAGCAGCTGTAATGGCTGTAAATGCCTCTGGAGCAACATCTGGAGGTGAGAGCCGACCAAGAAGAGATTATGTGCGGCTTGAGTAATGGTCAGGATGTCTACAGCCCTAGAGCACTTGACACTGGCAGAGTGGTACAGATAAATGGATGAGTGGAATAAAGAGAGATGAACAGTCAAAAGCACAACTATTTCTACTCAATATGAACAATGTGGGATCTCAACCCTAAGTTTAAAGCTACAGTAGGGGAAATCTTCACTGCTACATGTCAGTAGAATGCCCCTACCCATTTGAGTGCATTACCTTGTTGTCAGCCCACTGTATACCTCAGCTGTCAATGCTGGGTGAGAAGTGTATTTACTCAGGAAAAGGCTGTAAAACTTTGTGGAAGGAGTCAGATACAGATCAATGAGTCTGAGAAGCTCTTAAACTTATGCACGCTGTTAGAGCCCTGACTTCAGTTCAGGAGATGAGGCTTGATGTGAGGAGGAAGAGGATACTATATTTTTTAGATACCACTGGCATTTTCTTATTTTTTGCAATTTAATTTCTTTAGTGAGAGGGACTCCTTCTCCAAAGGTAAAACAGAGCTATGATACTTTATATCTTTAGTCTGAAAGTGCAGGCACAAATTGAAATGTCAGCACGCAAACTCCTACAGCCTCTCTTCTCCTCTGCCTTCTTTTGTTTATGGAGCCATTTTATAGCCACGTACATAAAACACAGTTAGTCAGAAAGTAGATGTTCTTCCTGCCGACTGTATTTATACACGGTGGAGGGATATGGCAGCTTCCACAAAGTACAAACCTTTCCCAGCTGACACTGACAGATCATCAGTCCATCGCAGTGCTAACACAGAGGCAGACACCCAGACATGCACAACTGCAGTCAATAAGGAATCACCACTAAACCTGACTGGAGGAGATTCATGAACCAAGAACCAACCAAAATCTTCATGCTGTGAACTGACAGTGCCAGTCACTGCACCACAGTTACAGTTCAAAAAAGTCATAACGTTACCAAATTTCATAATGTTGATGGTATAAAAACTAAAAATGGTCCTTAGAAGCTAACTGTCACGGTTCTGGGTCATATTGACCCAGCTTTCTGTTTCTCATGTTTTGGCGTTTTTCTAGATTGTGATTTATGTTCTGATTGATCAGTGATACTGTTTTGATTATGATTATTATTTAGTAGGTTTTGGTCAGTGTCAAGTCTGTCTCTGTCTAGTCCATGTAAAGTGTGTTTTGTTTCCTGTTTTACGTTGAAGGTTCTTGTTCCTGTCTGATGTCAGTGTTCCAGCGAGCTCTCCCTGTCTCGTTTAGTCTTATTCCTCCCAGCTGTGTTCCCCTTCTGTCTCTAATTCCTTGATGACTCCCTCAGTGTATTTAAGCCCAGTGTGTCTTTGTGTCAGTGTCGCGTCGTTAACGTCTACTCACCCTCACGTTAACGGTGTGTTCCGTCTGCTAGCCTGCCTGTCTGCTTAGTTTATTTCTGTATTCCCAGTTTATTTAAGTTTATGTTCCTTTTCTGCCCAGCAATAAAGCTGAGTGTTTTGAGTTTACATCTGCCTCCGAGTCCTGCATTTTGGGTCCTTTCTCCCTGCCTGCGTGCACACAGCCATGACACTAACTAGACGTAGTGCAAATGAACTGATTTACTGTCTTTGGTTTAGTGTGGCATATAGCTTCAGTCACTTGTTCTTTTGCATGAACATTTGTCAAAATTAAATAAAAATGCAGCCTACAATCTGCCCATTTTCAACAGAAAAAAGATTGATACAAAGAAATTAAACTACAGCTAAAATACTTTGTCACTCTTGTATGACTAACAGTGGCCTTATACAAATAATAAAAAAATAAACTTGGCATGTTATCACACATAAAGGGGCTTATTTACTGCCAAAAACAAACTCACTTGGCTCTTTTGGCTTCTATCTCCACAGTGCGCAGGCAGTTTGGATGCTGTGTACACGTTTTTGGACAGCAGCATTGACCACCCACCAATATATTTGTTCACTGTAACACCAAGTATGTAAGAAAGTGCCTGTTGAAAGTGTTTTTAGTTGGATTTTTCTTTTTTAACTTGCATGCAGTATTACGTTATGTTTTAGATGTCGTTTTAGTTCTCTTGTGGTCTCAGTGTGACTGACAGACTCCTCCAGCTGGCACCAAAAATATGAAAAGATTTGCTTTCGCAGCCGTATTCAACAGCAGTTTGAGGAAGGGCCAAATCTTTTATTCTGCCAGTTCTAATGATGTTCATCAAATCAGCACTAAATTTCACAAGCCCCGTCACAAAGCAAGGCTTTATTTCCTTTGGTCAAAAACATTGTTTGG